GTTATTTGTAACAAAATAAAGCCTATTAAATTTGGTGCTTCTACTTGCTAATCAAGAGGATAAATGCGTATAGATATAATGTAAGTAACTATATAATTTAAATTACATTTATTCAGATTCTTAATTTTTACACTGTTAGAAAATGGTGAATGATGCATCTTTTATTTAATAAATGATGATATTTTACTTGTGGTTTGTGTCAAGCTCTATTTGGATGGAAATTCAATTCAATTAAAATGCACTAAAACAGCATTTTATTTTTTGTTAAATAAAACTACCTTAAAAGTGCTAATACATAAGGAAAAAAGTTTATGAAAGCATGTTTTGCATTTAAAAGTGATTTATTCAACAAAAGGAAGTAGTATCTGTAGCTAATGAATTTAAATGATTGTTTCAGGTCCCAATGTCATTTAAGATTTTAGAACTAGTAGATCCCATCCTTTAAAATATGTTTAGAAATAAATCCAAGCAAGAACTGTGTACGTAATGGCATAGCCACGTATTCAAAATCTCAGACTAGACTCTTTTGGATGGTCAATGGCGCTCTTGCCCTCAACAAAACACATCACTGCTCATACTTGATCTCACTGTTGCCTAAAATGTATGCCCATATATACAATGGGGCAATCTGTTCCTAGCTCAGTCACTATATCACAGCAGCATTATACCATTGGGTATGAGCTACATGACCCAATTCCTGCTGGAATGCAGGAAACGATAAGCACCTCTCCCTTTAAGGATGATCAAATAAAATGTGCACTATCAGTCAGTCAATATTAAAGTGAAATTAACTCTTTGTTAATAAATGTTTTATGAACATGTTGGAGTCAGTTGGTAGCACCATCATTATGTAATAGCTGCCAAATGTGGGTACAGAGTGGGAAACTTAACAATATTATGGGATGGCCCAGGGAATAAATCCAGTTATAAACTCTGAGTTGATTTTGGCAGAAAGTAAAGAGAGGCTTACTTCAAAGTCATGTTTTATCTTCACAGAACAAAGTTAGAATTCAATCTTCTTACTAAATAGTTTATAAATCAGATTTAGATATCCTTAGTTAGAAAACTGCAACAACAAATTAAGTTTTGTCATAAATTTTAGAGAATAAATAAATATATTTTAAAAATGTTTACTATAAAATTACAGATTATAATCAGGATTACTGGTTATATGTTAATACCCCACCCAAAGAGGTACCTGAACCTGGGTTTTGACACCAGAAATACTCTGAAAGACAATAAATTAAGTACCACGAACTGCTTGCAAAGGGCCAGCAGGCCCAAAGATCCATCACTTTCTGGGACCACAGGGCTTTGGAAATAGCCAATATTTAATACACTACAAGAAAGTAATTTAGATTAATATATACCTAAGAAGTGAACCATAAACAACAAAAAAGAAAATCGGGGGGGGGGGGGAGGAGAGAGACACAATTGTTTTCTTTATTCTCTACTTGATCTGCTCAATTAGCAAAAATAAATCCTATTTTCTCAACGATTAACTAAATTTCACAAGAAAAAACAAGATTTTCCAGGGTACTATGGGGCAGGAAGCAATAGTAAATCATTTTCATATTCAATTATTCCCTTAATAAATATGGGATTCTAAAAAAGGTTTGCTATTCTGTCCACATGAAACAATAAGACAGAAGCCCCTTGAAAAATAAGAATCCTGAGACCAACTTCTCTGATATTAAAGCAATACTTTATTTTTATTTTTTTAACTGAAAAAGATTTCCCTTACTTAAGAAACAAGTGTTGCCCATGGTGGGCTCATCAGTTATTCAAAAGAAAACGTCAAACCAAGTTCACAATAGCACTATTTAAACATTTTTAAAGGCAACATTAGGAGCATAGCAATCTGAATAATAAAGGGGGAATTTAGCCACAATGTGAGAAAAGCAAATGCCCATTGCAAATTAACTTCTGAAGTCCTTAAAGAGGTAAAAATTATACATAATAGTGACTTTGGAATTTAGCTGCAAGAATGAATGAATTATACTCGCAAGAAAATAAAACTGTCCCTTTTTCTCTTTCTCCCATAAAGATGCACCCATTTCTCATTTCATGTGAGTTATTTTATATTAATCCTGAATCGGAGTGAAAATCTTGTTGCAATATAGAAACCAATGGAGCTTGCATGTCAGGGAATCCTGTTCCATCAGAAAGTATCAGGAAATGCTGTTTTATGAGTTTTGCTCATAAGACTCCGTAGAACTATTTTCTGCTAACTGTTCCATTAAAGTGACATACTGTAGTTTGAGTCAGAATGTAAGTCGTGCAGTTATTCATTTCTACATCCCATCAAGACATGGTTTCTCATGTGATATATTATGTACATATAATTCAATAATATGGGACTTAAACTAAATTACATATTGTTTGTACCATGTTAAGAGCAATATTTAATGTCACAGACTACTTTCATAGGCCTTTCAACTAAATTGCAGTCATTATTCTAAGCAGTCCATGGAATCACTAGTCTTTCCACACACCCCGCCTTCTTTTTCTTTACGTTCACTCCTCTAAACCAAGTGTATCGGGCCAAAATTGATTAGTTTAATTTAGTGAAACTACATTCTCTGTATCACAGTTGGATGGAAATAGTACTAACAGATACAGAACGTTTCTAAAATGAAGACAAAGTTATCAATTTCAATTTATTTCTTTTAACATGCACAAAAAATAAGGGGCACCTTTTGGTGGACATCACTGTAGCAACAGGTCTTTCATATAAAGGTACTACCTAATCAAGATTAAAAACACACATGATCTAACATAGTGTTAAACCCATATAGAATAATTCAACACTAAAAATAAAAAGCCCTAGCTTCTCCTCCCACACAAACTTTGGCAGCCACTAACAAGTTCATTATAAGGCAAATTTTCCAATTATATTTTAATATCAAAGCTCAGAATCAGAGTTTAAGCATTCTTAAAAAATAAAAACAGCATCAGCAAAACAGTGATATGATTCTTTTCTTGAGGCAGACTGAGCTGTATATTTCAATCTTCTAAATATGTAACTTAATCATGTCCAGTGAATATCTATTAAGGAGGAGCACAGGGTTGGGAAATCTTACCAGCAATACTCTTTACTCTCACATTGCATTACATTAATCCTTTTGTGGCAGGACTTGGATTTTCCTGTATGACATCCATTGCCAGCATTAGATGCACTTAAACCACTGGCACCGAACAATTAAAAATAGACTTGCACAAAACTCAACTAAACCTCGACTGCTCTATCAACAATATCTGCTCAAAATATTCTATGATTCCATAACAAGTATTTCCCTTTTTCACATAACACCATTGCTTAAAATATTTAAACTATGAAAAAAAACAAAATCACCCTTCAAATATTAGTAACTTTTAGTTGAATAAGTATAGCTGAAGAAGACTCAGACCGCTCATCCAGTCAATCACTGCCTTCTTACAGGACACTAACTTCCATTACCTAATCCAGATAACAAACCATGTCTAATATGTGTTCATCATTTTGACCATTACTCTGATTTCACCTCTTTCATAGGCTTGCAACATTAAACTTCTCATTGCACTCAAAATCCATTTCTAGTCTTATTGCTAGTAAGAACATTGTATATTCATTCCTTTTTTTCTTGGATTAATCCATAAACATTCAAATATTAAGAATTTTACCACAAATTACTAATATTGAGCAGATTAGGCAATTAGAAACATGGGCTGAACTTGTTCTCAGCCCACCTCACCATGCCTAGGTATTTCTGGGGTCCCACTGCTCTCCAATTACAACTCTTAGGTAAATGAACTGTATTGGCCTTGAAATGGCATTTCCTCATTTTGATTAGGTTTAATCCGATGCTTGTTGGTTCTGTAGTCTGACATTTAATGTACACATGAAGTAGTAAAGTGTTATTTTAGCAGAGAAATCACAACTGAAAAGTGAAACTTTTTTTACAGGAAAAAACAATTGTATATGGCAGTTATTAGGACGTACTTTTATACTGTTTAACTACTGTTTCATAACAGAGCATATGAGGCTAGCAATAACCACCACCACCACTTGCTAAATAGAAGTATTTAAAACCTGTGTTCAGGAAGAGTAAAACAAATCATGTGAATTTATAATTACAGTGATTTAAGATGATTTTCACCAAACATACGTGTTTTAACTATAATTATCTTCTGTATTTACCTTTGTTATTATGTCAAAATAAAGGCGATTAGGCTAAATATGTGCAGCAGCACACGGAGGAGGAAGCAAAGCTGGGCTTGCTTCAGGTATCACTGCTGCACTTCAGTCTCCAACTGCATCTCACACAATACACACAGAGGCCAGCAGCTGCTAATAGCACAATAGTGATCTTTAACTTTCGTTTCCCTTTCTGACAAAATGTGCATTTAGATTCTTTATAACTATATATTTTCCCCAAACACCAATCTCTCATTGGCTTCACGATCCTGCATAATATGCATACAAACTCAAAGGTCACGGCTGCTTCCTCTACTGTTTACAACCTCTTTTGCAGGGTCCCCCAAATCATATCGTTCAAGTTACTTATAATTTCCAGACATGTAAACACAAGGGCCATCTGGGAGAAGAGGAGTTGTGTTCCCATATCCCACATTAGTGGGTTCAACATATGAAAGGGGGGGATTTACCCTTTCCAATTCCTCATCCTCCGGATACTGCTCCAGATTTGTGCACTGCCATCTCTCCCCTTCCCCGCCAGCTCCACCTTTGTTCACTGCACCCTTCCCTCTCAGCTCTGTGCGGTATCCACCCGGTACACACTCCATATGTGCATAGTCCCCGTACCTCACCTATGCCCCCTTCCCGCCTCAGCGCTTCTGGTCCTTGGGCCTCGTCCCTCCTCTGAGCTTGTGGCCCCGGCTCTCCCCCAGCCCTGTCCCCCAACCACAGCAATAGCCCCAGCACCAGCCCTTCCCCTCCATCACCCCCTCCCCACCTCTCTCTCCCAAGTGCCCCCAGGCCCTGGCCCTCTCGCACTCACCGAGCTTGCCGCGGGACTCCTCCAGCTTCTGGATCTGGTTCTCCAGGAAGAGCACGGCCACCCCGAACGTCAGCACCGCCAGCAGCTGCAACTTGGGCGGCAGCATAATCCTGAGCAGCCCCATGAGCAGCAGCAGCAGCGCCGCCCGCCCGGGATCACGACATAACGTGGGGCCCGGCCGGAGAGGCCGAGGGGAGCCTCAGCCGGGCCGCAGGGACGCAGCGCGCAAGGGTGGCAGTGAGCTCGCAAGAAGGGACACACACAGCTCTCACATCCCTCCAGAGGCCCCCCCGCCAGCACTGTCTCAGCCGCCCCCCGCGCCAGCCCGCCCCTCACTAGCCTCACTCCGCGGCCGCCCGCCAGCCCACGCCCCTCCCCCAGCCTGCGTGCGCTGCTCAGCAACCGAACGCCCAACCGCGCACACGCCCACCAAACCCCACCATAGACTAGCAAAACACAGGCTCTACCCACGGCCCCTCCACCATTGGACGGTATCTCCGGCGCCCCACCCTCTCCCCATCCCATTGGCCGATCAGTCCAATACACCGCCCACCAATGCTCCACCCCAATAAAATGGATGTACGGACCTGACGCCCCTCCCACACGCGTTCCTTCTCCATTGGATACCTGTTCTGAAGTCCGGCCCACATATCTATATATTATTGGGCATTGGCACCGCGGCAATCAGCAAAATTGCAGCTCCATTGGTTAATCTGGTTGCCAATCTTCAGGATTGTAGGTCTGGGCGCTGTTGAGCTGTAGGTTATAAGAAGAAAAAGGACCCGTGTGGGGTTACTACGTTGATGCCTGATTACAGTTCCTAAATGATACCTCCAGCTACATTCTAAACCCCTTCCCTGGATAGGGCCAGGTAGCTCCGCTTCAGATTCTCTACATAAAGAGCCCTGGGATAATCTTTTCCCTCGGTGGTGTAAGGGTCCTACTCGTACATTTTGCTTCCTTCGACGTAGGCAGCGAAGGGTCACCCTACGAGGGTGGGGTCTTGAGAGCAGCCTCCCGGCGGCGACGCTGACAGAGCAGCTCCGCACTAAAATGGCGGCGGTTACAGGATTAACGGCTCTGGGGCACTGGCCACTTTGGTTCCTGGCGGTGCTGCAGGCGGTGAGGGCAGCTTCCAATCTGGTTGGGCTCGAGGGAGAGGGCTGCCGTGGGTACTCCACCCTAGTGAGGCTAAAGCCCATAGGGCCTGGCGGGCAGCGAGATGCCGGCGGGGGCAGTGAGTGACAGAGAGACGTGGCTTAGCGGCCGGGACGGCTCTTTTCATGCTCGTCTTTTCTCCCATAACTGATACCCGCACGTTCCCCTTCTCTTCCCGCCCCCCGTCCCCCGTTCTTTCCCCCTGCTCCCGCCTGCGCCGTTTTCTCTCCTTGTCCCTGCTAGAAAGCGGCGGTGCTGATTGCCCCGCCCGCGGGGAGGGCTTGGTCCTGCCCTGGCTCACGCCCGTGGTGGATACGGTTTAGGAGGGTGGGTGGCTCTGATGTGGTTTTGAGAGGTAGAGTCTCTCCTCTCCGGGTTACCCTCTCGGCTCTAACCTGGGTTGACTATAACTAAAAAGTTGCTGCTCTGGAGGCTGAACGGTAACTCGGGAAACGAGTGAGCTGGTCTTCTCCTTCCAACTGGATGTTGTCCCCATACATCCCTAACCCGACACCGTACCATAGTATTAGTTAGAGCTCGGCATTCTCAGTACCAAGAGCAAGCTGTGGTTTGGATTTGGAAAAGGGCTGTGTGGTTGCCCCTTTCGGCTCATGGTTTATGGATGTTGTATAGTGAGGAGAATGTTGTGTTACTGCTGCCCTTGCTATCTGAATCTGATCTGCAAGACTTCTCCCTTTCCATAGTGTTGATGAGCAGTGATGGCTTAAATTAAAAAACAAACACACACAAAACTTAGTTTCCCCATCCACCCATGCATGAAAAATGTAGGATTGTATTAAATACAATATTTATCCTTTTTTACTGAGCTGCAAAACACACAGCTACTGAAAGTACCATAGGAAGAAAATTAGAGGAAATGTTATAGAATCATAGGACTGGAAGGGCCCTCAAGAGGTCATCTAGTCCAGTCCCCTGTGCTCATGGCAGGACTAAGTATTATCTAGACCAGAGGTTCCCAAACTGTGGGGCGTCCCCCTAAGGTGACATGGAGGAATGTGGGGGAGGCCTGGGCTAGCCCCCATGCAGGAGGTGAGGGAGCGCCTTCCACCTTCAGCTCTGCTCCAGGCCTGAGGCCCCAACTCCTGGCCCCACCCACACCACCAGCTGGGGCCCCCTCCTCCTGGAGCTGCGGCCCTGCCACAGCTCTGGGGAGAGGAGGGGGAAGTGCATGAGGTAAAAAGTTTGGGGGGACCACTGATCTAATCTCTTAAAAATCTCCAATGATGGAAATTCTACAGATTCCCTAGGTAATTTATACCTTTTAACACAGGGGTTCTCAAACTAGAGGTCGTGAGGTTACTACATGGGGGGTTGCGAGCTGTCAGCCTCCACCCCAACCCTGCTTTGCCTCCAGCATTTATAATGGTGTTAAATATATTTAAAAAGTGTTTTTAATTTATAAGGGGGGTCGCACTCAGAGGCTTGCTATGTGAAAGGGTCACCAGTAAAGTTTGAGAACCACTGTTTTAACGTGTTCATTCTCCTGTTGAAAAATGAAAATATGCAGGAGTAATAATACTTAATGCATCAATGATTGCCAAGTCTCATTTTGGGTTCATTACATTCTCTACCTTTTTTTTTTCTTCTTCTAAGCATTTATTTTATTTCTCTCCGAGTTGCATATGAATGCTGTAATCATACTGTAATTGGCTGAACTGTCCACAGTAAAAGCTGTGTGGGGCCAGACTGTTTTCCCACAGCTGAAGTGTGTTAGACCATGCACACACACCTGAACTTGTATGCAAGAACAGCTGTACTGGGGCCTGCTTTGGAGCAGGAAAACAAAGTAGGCTTCCAGAAACTGCCCACTGCTACATCCTCAGGAGCACAGCTGCAATGGAGAGTTGTAGCGTATCTACAATGCTACACGAGTTTAAGTGATTTACCTAAACTGAAAAAGCAAATTAGTTGTAGAGTCAAGAGTAGAACCCAAGAGTCCTGACTAGCTATTAAATAGCATTCCCTTCCCACAACTGCAAATAATTATTTGAAATGCTAAAATATGTAATGATTGTTTATTCGCTTTCAGATATCTGTGTATGGGGCGCAGTTATCATCAGAAGCATGCAGAGAACTAGGCTTTTCCAGTAACTTGCTATGTAGTTCTTGCAACCTTCTTGGACAATTTAGCTTGAATCAACTAGATCCATTCTGCAGAGAGTGTTGCCAAGAAGAAGCTCAGTTTGAAACCAGAAAGGTAAGTTTAAATCAAACCTTCACAACACTTTCTGAAACTTTTAAAATTAAGTAGTAAGTTTCCTAGGCTTATGTAAATATTCTAATTAGAACCTCATTTAAGTCATGGGGAAATACAGCTATTCCACGACAGTCCAATATAGAGAGGATCTGAATTTGAAGGTTTGGCACAGGTCAGCTTCTGAGATAATGCTCAGGTATGAGTGCAAGCACCTTTTGTTTTTCTACAGTAGCCCTTCTGGTCACTCGGGTACTACTAACTAGCTCTGGTGGGAACCCTCTTCAACTTTGGTTAACTGGAAGAATGATTGGGATTTGAGCCGGGAAGGGAAGAAATGAAAGATGGGAAGAACTGTTCTTTTGTTTTTGGCAGCAGCTATTATTGCCGTAATGACCCAAGTATTCAAGGACACTGAAGAATTTTTTTACATTTTATTTTAATCTCCATAGTTTGCAAACCAGAGCAGTTTGAAAATAAATGTATCAATAATTATAATTATATCCAAAATTAATAGATACCAAGTATACATCACAATAGTAAGCCTAATGATTTCAATGTTACTAAATTCCAGTAATAACTGCAGGTTTCCTTCCTATGGTTTTGAGAGAGCAAGAAATTAACTGGCTTTCTTTTTTACTTTGTGCCAGTATATTCAAAAATGTCAGCACGTTTCTGGGAATTACTATAGCTGGTAAGCCAACAGAGAGCATAAGTATAAAACACTTCCTGGACTGGGTCCACACAGAAGTAGCTCTCATTTCAGTCTGACAGATTAGTGAATTTTAAAATTTATGTAACAGAATAGCATAAATGGTTGAAGTGAGTCAACTTTGAATTTTTTAGCTCTTTCGTAACATACATTGTATATTATTGTAGAATAGTTTTAAACATCATTCTTTATCTCTTTAAATGGTAACAAATCTGTGTGTGACTTCACCCTACTGGTGCAGTGAAAGGTTTAACATTTGTAAATCCAGTACGAGATCCTTAGAAGTGTGTTACCATAAACAAGGTATCTTACATGAAGAATGATCTATTACAAAAGATAGTGAACTCCAGGGGACTACTCAGTATATATAAGCTTTAAGGATTCCAGCATCTTTACATGCTTTATTTTTGTGTGAATTCCTTGCCATTCTGCTCTTGCTCTCACTTTATATCTGTTCTAGCAACACTGAAGGAAGACATGCTGATAGTCAATTGCAATTCACTAAAATCCAGCTGTCAGCACTTCACAAGATAATTCTAGGAAGTTTCACTTGACTGGAAATACACACAGACATAGCAATATTAAATAAGCAGCTGATCTAGGAAAACTGCACAAGTGTGTGGTGATGGTATGGGCGCTAATTGCATGACAGCACCAGGGCCGGCCAAACTTATTGACCCTCCAAGCCGTATACGACAAGCTTCAGAAGTTCAAGAGCACACCTGCTGGGGCTCGGGGTTTCAGCCCCACAGGGTGCGTCTGGCGAGGCTTGGGGCTTCAGCCCCTCTCTTGCTGACTCCCCGAACCCCAGCAAGCATACCCCGCAGGACTGAAGCCACAAGACCCACCTCCCAGTTAGACAGAAGACCCTACCCCACCACCCTGCTGCAAGGAAGAGGTCCCGAGCTCTCTCCCTACGCCCCCAAAGCCTGGTAGGTGGAGAATTGGGGGTGGGAGGCTATAAGGGGCTCCGCCAGCCACACTTCAGCTGTAAAAGAGCATACAAAACAGGACTTTATTTTTGTGTTAAGGTTGTGGGAGAGGGAGAACAGATGTGAAAACATTGAGTTAACAGGAATCAACCATAGCATTACATTGATACAGGTTTTAGCTTAAATTTGTATATACTAGTG